TGATAAGGATATGGATGGAAAGATTTCTTTTGAGGAATTTTGTTCGATAGTAGAGTCAACTGATATTGCAAAAAGTTTGACATTGAATGAATTCTAGTAGTAAGATTGATAGTAACATTTTATTTATTGATTTTTGGTTTTGAGTAATTTATTTAAATAAAAGATGAGTAATCCTTTCTTATGGTATATATATATATATATACTAGTTTTTTTTTTTTTTTTTTGGTAAATATGTGAAAGAACGTGTGTAAATTTTTACTTTCCTTGTCCAAGACAGCGAGTGAATCAATCAATGGCTAACTGGTTAATTAATGAGAATAATAATAAAGATGGAACAAAGATGCAGATAAATTTTTTTAAAAAAAGATTATTAGCGCATTCATTCACACACCACCCATGAATCTCATTCATCCAGACTACATTGATGTCTTGTATTGTTATTATTGCTGTATTGAGAAAACGTTATAAATATTAATGTTGTTACACGATCTTATCATAAAAAAGTAATTGTAAAAATCAATTTTGTTGGTTCTAAGTTTTTTCTCGAAAAAAAAAAAACCAAGTTCTTATGGAAAAAATCAAATTTTCGTAAAGGAAAGAATAATGATGTTATAAAGATATGAAAATAAATTAATTTGAATAGATTTTTACGTGAACGTTGATTCTGCTTTTGATGAATGGAAGAAATCGTGCTTCTAATCAAGAAACTGTCAATATTTCATCAGACAATTCTAAAAGATCATTTAATTTCTGTTTAAAATATCTCTCCTGGATGCTGACAAGATGACATATTAATATAATTTTATCGGAGTTTCCGGAATTTTATATAATAGTAATTATAATAGTATTTCGCACTCTGCTCATGATCTGTTTTTTTTTATAATCAAATCATACAGTTAAACAAACATTGCATATATTAACCTTATTTGATAAACTTTAGAACAAATAATTAATTTCCCCATTTATTTGGAGAATTTAATTTATAGCTTGTGTTACAGCAGCATTGAATATTTTCGTCATGATTTTTACTTACATTTGCTTTGTTTCGCGATTTTTTTTTTTCTCTATAGTTACGCAACTCAATCCAATTATTGTTTAATTTCATTATTTCCATCTTACTTTTTTACCATTTCAAATTTTTTTTTGCTAAAAAATGTTTTACTCAGAGGCTATTCTATCTAAAAAGGTTAGTAAACGGTGGGGGGAGAGAGAGAGAGGTTATTCTTTAAGATCTCTGAGAATTTTAATGAAATAATTCAAAATTTTTTATATTATATGAACTTTACTGATAAAAGGGGCCACTTGCTAAAGTATGGTTGGCTGCACATTGGGAAAGAAAACTTAGTAAAACGCAATTTTTACAAACAAATATACAAACATCAGTTGGTAAGCATATCCATAATTTATACTTTAGTTTAGGTGATGTTGTTTGATTATTCAAGTCTTTAAAACTGAACAATGATCCTATGTAACCAACTATAAAAAAAAATTTACAATATACTTTCAAATTTTATAAAGGGGCAATACTTGGTGGAGACCAACCTCCGATG